ATGAGAGATGCCTTTCAGGGCCCACAGCGTCTTCAGAAGATTGGGTTCTTTATTTATTTTTTTTTTCAAGATTTTGTGAAGAAACCTGGTTCTTTTGTCCACTCTGTGCCTTGTTTATGGTGGGAAGGCTTTAGAGCTAATTTGGTGTTGCTGTGTGCTCTATAATCATTCTTGGTCTGGCTGAGCCGTACCTCCCGAAGTACACAATAACGTACTTTCCTCCTCTGAACAAACGGTTTTATGTTAGCCTAGCCTGTGCTTTCTCCTGGCGTGTCTGTGGAGAACTGATCTCAGATGTAACAGAACACTGATCTGAGACTCGGCTTTAGAAGTGATCTGAAAACCACTAGAAGGTGCAGGGCAGTGATTGCCGTGATGTTCACTTAGTCTCACCGTGCGTTAGCGTGTTGCCTCCTTGGCCCTGCACGCAATCCAGCAGGAACGTTACGTTTTTGAGGATGCTGAGAGCAGGGTGTTCTTTCCATGCCCTCTGTTTGTCTTGCTTCCCCTGCATCAGACATGAACTAGCTATTCCTCATCCTGTCTTTTGAAATCTTTATTGTACCTTTAATGGCGTGTACTGCTTCAGTTGAAATGAAGCTACAAGGACTCGTGTCAAAAGGTCATTGATGGTTACAGTGTCGGGGGCACGCACTGCCCTTTTGAAGTGATACTGAAAAGCAGAAGCAGGCGTGCTCACTGGCATAAGTGGTACCACGTTTCCTTGCTCACTATTGTACATTTGGGCTGGCAAACTGTTTGTCCTCGAGTAGCACCTGTTGTAGCCCGTCATGCTCAGCACGCTGAACTGTGGGGTTTTTTTTTTTGGATCCAAAGCCATTTTGTGCTATTGTAGTGCTGTCTGTCATCACTGGTTTTCAGCCCAGCGTTGCATTTAAATAGGATGAGTAACCCGTGTGTGTAAGGGTGAACTGGTTTATACTCGCATCTAGTACGTTTGCTCTCAGTCGCTTTTCTCTGCATAAATGAAGAAACCTTACAGTGTTAGACCTCTCTCTTCCGAAAGTTCTATTTTCTTTGGCCTCTCTCTGCATGTAATCTCTTTAGGTCAGGGTTTATTTTCTATGCGACTCTTAGCATACTTGTGGGACCTATAAAACAATAAATTCATATTACAGTGCAGTGTGGATGTGTTGGCAAGAAGATCAGCAGCAGAGATAGTATGTAGTCTGTTTAAAATTGGAAACCTATTGCCTTGATATACTTCGTTTGAGCCATCTGGATATGTTATTTGTCTGTCCCATTATTTCTTCTGTGGAGGAAGGAGCCAAGATCTTTGGTTGTTTGATGGACATTGAGAGACAGCTGAGAGATTAAATTTGCCTTTCACAGAGCATTCCAGCTCCCTGTGCTGTTAGGAAACCATATGCTTGGTACGTCACCAGTTTGCATCAGAAGCAAGACTGTCATAAATGTTGTGTATCTTTCATGGTGTGGGCTGAAGGCATGCACTGATCAGGCATGTCAGTGACAGTAGTCCTGCTTTTCCTCCTCTTCTTTTCCCTCACCTCTTGCTTCTTGGTCCTACAAATACTCTTTCATAAGATTTTTTTTTTTTTTTCACTTTCACTGGAGAGAAAAATCTGCGTCTGTCTCTTGCCCAGTGTGTCACAGCTCTGATGTGGCAGTGCACATGTTAACACTAGTGCTATTTTCTTTCCATGACATCCTTAAATGCAAACCTGCTCTGTGTTCTGGTATAAAAAATGGTAGCTTTTCCTCATCTTCAGGGTTTAGCACAAAGGGCAGCCCTTTTTGCAGTGCTGGAAGTGTCCCCATCTTTCCATTAGATTTGTCCTGATTCCTCAGTCCTCCTGGGGCGACCTGCTGTCCAGGTGTGCCTTAATCCTCCGCACCTCAGGTGTGCAGCTTACTTTGCCATCAGGCGGACGGCTTGTTGTTTGTCTGGAACAGAAGCTGTGGTGTTGCAGCTCTTCTCGGGAGCTTTATCAATAGTGCAGGTAGAAACATGGAGAGATTTAAAACTGAAAGAAGCTTAGCTAATTGCCTTTGTCATTTGCCGGATTTAGGTAAAAGATTATAATCTAAGGCAATAAAAATGATATTCTTGGCAGGTGCCTTATGAAGTGTGAGCTTCTTTGCAGTGTGTGGGCAGGGGGAAACCTGGACTGCCTAAACCCTCTGTTCGGCAGAGGAACTAAGCAGCGTGGTTTTTTACTTGAAATACATCGTAGAACAGCTTTAATGTGTAAAACAGCTCTCCTGTATACATGAAAAACTAGATAAAAATGTTGAGCATTGTGATGACATCATGTATATTTCCGGAGGGGAACACAGGAGAGATTTGGATGCAGAGGAGATGGTGGCCCCAAACACTGCTCTGTCCCTGTGTACTGCTCCACCTCCCACCCCAGCAGCACCCTCCTCCTTGCACTCCTTTCGGGGATGCTGCTTATACTCACTTTCCCCAGTCCATAGTCCTGCCTCTGTCCGGCAGCGTGGCCTGGTCTATTTATATTACAGATCTATTTATATTGTTTCAGGATAACTTTCATCATTGTTCCAAGTGCATCTGGAAAGAGAGACGGAGGCTTGTCATGTAGCTGCAGACATTAGGAAACAGGGGAAAAAAATACTTCATGCTCTGCAAATGTTTTCCCTCTTGGCCTGTGGGGCTGGTGCTTCATTTAACTTCAACCAAATGTCAAATAAAGGGACACTGGTTGAAAATAAGTTGTCCTTAATTTATGGCGTTCCTTGTAAACAAGAATCGGCTTCTCAGTTCCCCTTTGCTTCCTGCTTATGTTTTCTTCCTGTGCTGGTCAGGGAGAACTTCTCATCTCTCTTCTCTAAAGACATTGTATGTCAACCCTTCTTCCTTCCTACTGTAGTGTTGCAGCTTAGGTCTGGTGGTGTCTTGTCTCTCTGTTTTCTGTGTTAGCCTTTTCTGTCCCTCAAAAAGCAAATGGAACAGAAACCTTTTGAAGGTGAGTCTCTTCAGCAGGTCCAGTGATACGGGTAGTCAGTCAGACTTTTTGTGATAGGAGCACAAAGCCAGAGGAGTGTTTTTAAAAGCTGGTGTTGGGGCAGGTCTTCAAAAGCTCAATTTCTGAGCCTCCTTCCTGCATCATTAGAAAACTACTACCCTGGATTAAAATATAGCACTTGCATTTTTATGTGAATGTGTGTTTGGGGCAGAAGCTATTAGTTTCAAACTGTGGGTTTTAATGAGACGTGTCCCCAAATGCCTTCTGGAATGATTGTCTCCAGTTCCACAACGTCACATCACAGAGACGATACTCAGTGCCATGAAATGCAGGTATCCACGGAATGGAAATCTGTAGCTGTGTAGTGCACCTCAGCTGTGACCTAGGGCTTTGGCCAGTGATACACTGAAGTGCAGCACGTGGATTTGAACAGTCACACAGCCTTAGCCCTCGTGGTGTAAGTGAGGCAAGGTTCGTCAGAAGTCATGCTTTAGGCATGTTTCTGGCCTAACAGGCTTGAAACAGAAGAGAGTAATCTTAAAACAAATTTCAAGGTAAGAGTGCTGCTCTGAGGTTAATTTTACTTCTAGATAAAGGTTTTTAGTTCTGTAATGCCTCCCACCTGAAAAAAACCCAACATTTGCCAGTGGAAGAGTGAACCTCTATAGGAATAACTGAAAGCTGCTGACAGTCTGTTTCTGTTCCTTACCTTTCACTGATCCCCAGGGGTGCTGCCGAATGGATGATTTGGGAGAGGAGCACACTCGCATCTAAGGAAAAGGGTCTGAAGGCAAGGGAAGAAGATAACAAAGAGTGACCTTATAGGACAGAGGGAGAGGGAGAAAACTTTGACTTCCAGAACACAGAGAGGTTAACTAGGAGGCAGGATTGGAATACGTTGTTAAAACGAGAGCAGACATAGTATCCAGGCTTCTCCTCTGTAAGCCTTTGTTGCTTTCTCTTGAGGACCAGAAGTTAACTAGTGTCTGCACTAACTGCTGTTCCCTGAATTCAGATTCGTTGGTTGCTTTGATTTGAGAAGTCAGCGGACTCAGGAGTTTTATTCCTTGTGCTTGACCGTCCAGTGGTTCCAACTTTATTGCAAGTTTCATGATATTTGATATTTTCTGTAAAAGTTCAGCTCCAGAGTTCTAGGATTATAAGAAGTTCCTTATTTAAAATTGTTCCTACATTTCAAAGCTGGAGGCAGGGAGCATGTGAAAGCATAAACATTACATCTGAAACAGAAAAAACAAAAAGACAAATAACTGCACTTTTTTCATATTATTCTTAATCTGTTTTAATTACTTGTTGAGGGTCTGACTCATGATTTATTTGCTGTTTGATTCTGAAAAGTGATGTGCTCAATGGTGTTTGTTGTTGTTGTTTTTCTGTGTGACCACCCAGAATCTCCTTAACCATTCTGTAAAAAGAGGCCTCCAGTGTCATTGACCAGATGTTTCTTACATATACCAACTTTTTGTGCATAGTGTCAAAACCTTTGATGCTTCAGCCAGCAGGGCAAGGTCAGAGATAATGTTGTGTACACTGTTCAGCCTCAGGGTTTTTTGGTTTGTGGGTTTGGGTTGGGTTTTTTTGTTTTTGTTTTTGGTTGGTTTTTTTTTTCAGCTTGTGTTACCTGACCCCTACTACTCCTGTTCGTGTTGAATTAAAAACATGAAGATATTCAGAGTGCTCCCTCTGAGAAGAAGGTTGTGCAGATGTTTGTTAGGACTTGTTATCAACCAAGCAAATTGATACAACAGGAATAGCGAGTGGCTGGAAGACACTGAGTGTGGCACCACTCAGTGTTCAGACAGTAAGAAATTACTCTGAGAAGTCATGGCGGATAAACAGGAGTAGAAGGATGTATTGTTAGAAATGGAAATGTGCCCTGTTCCAGGTGTTCGTCCGGGCAGCCAAACAGCTGAGGTGTTTCTTCTCCCCCTCCAATCTTCTTGATTTCAGGTTTTTTTTTTTGGCAGTTCATCCTTTTGATTCTGTCCCTTTCCCTCACCTCTTCCTCACATCATGTTTCAACAGATCTGGTGGCTGGATCCAGAACTGACGTATGGCAATGCCAAGCCATTTGTCTTCACGCAGGGCCACTCAGTGTGTAACCGGTCTTTCTTCCCCTGCTTTGACACCCCAGCAGTCAAATGTACCTATTCAGCTACTGTCAAGGTAAGTGACCGAATGGCTATGAATGGCTCACAGAGCACTTAGCTGCTGTTATCTTGTGAAAGCATAGTTACATTGTTTATGTACATATGACATAAAATATTAATTGTGACATTTAGCGTTATAAAAAATACTTCGTTTTCTAGATCCCATTGTGGTTCTCAGGGTACCTGTCACAAAGGCAACTCTGTGGCCTGTCGTGCTTAGGTCTTGCCTTCCCCGTACTCAATGCTGAAAGAGTAACAATGAAATGTATAATATGAAAGAGAGAATTTGGCTGGTCACTTCCAGTAGTGGTTATTGATGATAACACTCAACTGTATTTTATCAATTATTGAAAGGAAAAACCCAAAGTTTTATGAAAGCAGCATCAAATAATGTTGCATTTTGCATAGATGAAATAATTTGAAATGTGGACAGTTTTGGGGCAGCTGGCATAAGAACCCGTGCAATATAGGAGGACTAGTGTTTTTGGTTGGTATGTTTTTACGGGCTGGGTAGATTGTGGTATAAAAACCTCACGGAAATACTATATTTTGTGTTACCTAAATTACTGCTTTTAATATGCATCCTCAGGCATAGACGAGAAAAACAAGAGATCTGTGGTGTAGTCATTGAGCTGTGATCATCTAGTGAGTTGATGTGTATGATGTTGGTCTTCCAGGCTCCAGCAGGCATACAGGTGTTGATGAGTGCCACCCAAAGTACCTACTTAGAAGAGGAAGGTGTGTATCAATTTTACATGGAATATCCAGTTCCTGCCTACCTAGTGGCCCTGGTGGCAGGAGACCTTATACATGCAGACATAGGTCCAAGGTAAGATTTGCAGTGAGTTGATTCCACTTTTTGTGCCTCTGTACAGTGCTTCATGTTATAAGTAGCAAATACGTTGAGTCATTGATAAGGGAACAGTGGGACCATGAGCTGTGAGCATTCAGAGTTTGAGGTTTAGTTGGGAGGAAAGAAATTCATGGCACTGAGCTGGAAAAGGTATTTTCCTCTTTCATAAATGTTGCTTAGTGTCCCCTGTAGTCATTGCAGCTACTTGTCCCATTGCCTCGTTTAAGGGATCTTTGGTTATCTCTTGCCATGTATCCTTAGAGTGTTAGCCTAAAGAGGGCCTGAGTCTGATGTGAGATCTCTTAGCACTATTACCATACATGGAAGTGTGGTAAGAAGTCAGGCTGTTTTTTCTAAGAGATAATTCAGTTTGCTGAAGTATCACCTGATGTTTTCTGTTTTCTGACAGGAGCAGAGTGTGGGCAGAGCCTTGCCTGCTGCCAACAGCCATCAGCAAGCTTTCTGGCATTGTTGAGCGCTGGTTGACTGCTGCAGAGAGCCTGTATGGCCCATATATATGGGGAAGGTGAGTTTAATAAGTCTCCCAGGAATGTGTACTGGGAACAAAATAAAACAATCTTGAGAAATTACCATGCTTTCTGCCTACGCTAGCAATAGCAGGACAAATGAGCCTCCCAGCTGGCAGCATTGTAGTTGTTGGAAACAAACTCTGTGGAGTTTTGTCTCTGAAAGTGGCAGAGAGGACCATGGAGGCACAGTGGGGTTTTGCCTGGTATGGTGGGCAGAACTGGAGGTTTCTAAACAGGGGATCTTCCCTGAGGAGTGAAGGTTTTTCATACTGTAGTGTTTTGTGATGCAAGTCCAACGCTGGGCTGGACACTGTTTAAAATGTATGGCAGTTTTAATTTATTTATTTATTTCTACATATGGTACTTGACATGTGATATATTTATTGTGGTATGCTTGAGGATGCTGAAAACCTGTCTCAGTACAGACTCATTGAGAGTCTTAGTCCCTAAAAACAATAGTTTCTGAAGTTAACCTTGATTATGTATTAAGAGAATGCTTTCATTCTTTAGATGGGAGAAAATGTTTACAAAGGCTTCCTATATTTCTTTGCTAAAGGTAAGCAGGAAGAACGTGTTGTTGTTAACTTACAAAATGTTGCTTGAAAGAATCTGAGAACACAGCCCAGTGTGCCAGTGCTGGTCGTTGGGGGAGAAATTTAGAAAACAAAACAAACATTCTGAAGCAGACAGACTAGAGTCATTTTGCTGACACTGCAGGTACACCAAATCAAATTAATTAATTTGATAGCTTCCCAGCCTCTCTCTCTCTCCTGGAAGCCTCTGGGGACTCGGCACTGTGTATGTGGTAGTGTATGTAGAGTTAACTTAGTGGTTCTGGGTCTCAGATGTACCACTTGTGATGAGTTTGCATGTGTGAAGGGAGCGTGGTGCTTCTGGGAAGTGCTGGATCTGCTGCACGTGAAAAGACTGTCTAGTCTTTATGTTCAAACGTAAGCAGGTGCTTGGCCAACAGAATAAACTCTGTGATCCCCTGATCAGAAGAATTAGGCACTACTGGTTTAGAAAGTTTGTTCCTGAAGTCACAAAAAAGACTCAGAGGAGCCTTGCCTAAAGAAAAAAAAAAAGTTACTGTGTGTGTCTTTTGAAATAGCTGTAATTTACTTATCTCCTGTCTCCTCTCTCCTTTCTTCTCTCTCCCTAATTTTAGATATGACATTGTTTTTCTTCCTCCATCCTTCCCTATTGTTGCCATGGAAAACCCATGCCTGACCTTCATCATCTCTTCCATCCTGGAGAGCGATGAGTTTTTGATCATCGATGTCATTCATGAAGTTGCCCACAGCTGGTTTGGAAACGCAGTCACCAATGCTACATGGGAGGAGATGTGGCTGAGCGAGGGGCTCGCCACGTACGCGCAGCGCCGGATCACCACTGAGACCTATGGTACAGATGCAGAGATGTTTCTCCTTGTGCTATGCCTAATTGAGGGTTGGCTGCATAGAGTATTTGCCTTGGGGGCTCAAAAGTCTGTAGGAAGCTGGTTTTATTATTTTATTTCTGGAATACACGCAGCCCCAGACTTTGCATTGAACATCTTAGACGCTTAGAGTCTGGTGTTTTCTTGGTTTTGGGTGGAATCAACACCTGATAACAGGAATAGGGGCTTTGAGTGAGGTGTGCTAGCCCAGCGTTGTAAGGGTGTTTGTAGGGACTTTGAAACTACTGTGGGTACCAAGCAGGTTCGTATGTCAGAGCAAGGGGAGCAGAGGATGCTTCAGAGACAGATGTATCATGGTTACATTGTGAAATAACTATCCTCTGAACAAGTGTCTTTCTAATCCTGATGAGTTAGTAGCTCCCTAATGTTGGAAAGATGGCAATAGCACTTGGAAAAAAAAAAGTACACATCTGCATAGCTGTCTGTTTATGTGCTTGAGGCTTCCTGTAGAATTGTACGGCCCTGCCTTGGCTTGTGTCAGTGAATTTCACAGGTCAATTGTATGGCACTGTTTTTAGAATATATAAGTAATGTATGTAATAATAAGTAATGTAAATAATTCCTATTGCTTTTCAATTTAATTGGATTCTTATTGAAAGAATAATGGGAACATACACTTCTCTAGTTTGTCCTGTTATGTTCTTAAAAGCCTGTACCATGTGTATTCTCACACGTCCGTGTAAACAATCTTGGAAAAATTCCTGGAAATCTTGGCAGTGAGAGTGTTTAGAAGGATGCCTTTGTTTGTATTCATGTATATTGGTTTTGGAGATGAGCTGATGATAATGAAGTTTAGGGAAGGAAGTGTTCTGAGCATATATGGAGTTGTTACAATGTATACTAAATGCCTTTGAAAGCTGTTTTGAGTAATTCTCAGTGGTTAGGACTGTTCTTATAAGTCATGTTATACATGACGATGATGTGAATAGGTCAGAAGATATTGACCTGTTCTCTATCCCCTCTTAGTCTGTCACTCTGACATAGGACAAGATCCTTGCTGATTTTGGTCCGTTCTCTTGAAATTTAGAACTGGTTGTTTCAGGAAGTGGTTGTTCAGGAAACTAAGAAATGCCTTTCCCTCTGCCTTTCTTTATAAAGCTCTTTTTGCATTCTGTTTTGTTTCTAAGATAAAATTTTGTTTCTCTGATCTAAGTCTTGCCATTTCTGACGTCATTTCTGGAGTATCTTCTGCTGTTAGTAAAAAGGCATCTTTGTAATGACATTGTTTACAGAAGTTGGAGTCCATTGACTACCACACCTCTTGGATCTTGCTTAATCCTCCTCCCTGTAGCTTGAAGTAATTGCCCTTAACACTAGCTCTCCTAGTTTTTGCTTTCCCCTGTGAAGCACATCCACCCTTTTCTCTGCCAGTACAGGTTCTTTTGTCTTCCAAGTACATCATGGTTCTTAATTCTCGTTTTGCTTCTGTCGGATTCCTGTGTATGTACATCAAGGCTCTGAGATTGTATCTATGTAACAAGCCCTATTGTGAAGTTGAAGTCTTAGCAGAAAGCTAAAGTGTTGATAGTGCTGGATGTTGAGTATCTTCTGAATCTGAAAATCCGTTTTCCACAGCTCTATGCTGCAGTTAGAAGAGAAAGAGTAGCCTACCCAGTCTGTCAAAGAAATCCTAATGAGTGGAAGTGAAAACTGTATGATACAATATGGGTAGGATGCTAGATAGAGCTTAAAAAAGATCCACAGGATCTGTAATAGAGCAACTAAATCTAATCCTTTTGTGTCTTCACCCAAGAGGTGGCATTTTCTTAGTAATAGCCTTGGCACTGAATGTGGAATTGTGTGTCTACTATTCTACCAGTGATGTTACTTCTTTTGTAGCACTTGGTTGCTCCTTGAAAGTTACCTGTACAATACTTATTCCAGTGCTGCTCTGCTTATCTTGCAAGAACGGATAGGATGATGTTAAGGATGTAAACTTTAGCATAGTTTTCCTGCTACTTTGTTTTTCAGTTCAGTCTGCTGCATAATCGGAGGGAGTAAATGCACTGTTGCAGGTTCTGACTTTCATTTCAGATTGCAAGGAGGTTTTGCACTCAAGTTTCTCTGCCGTTACGTTACTGTGATTCTGTCTTGCTGTTGGTCTTTTACGCCTTCAGTAGCTTTTATTTCGTAGCTGTGCTGCTTCTACACAGGTCAGGTTTTGCTAGTCATTTTCCCACAACTAATAAGTTTCTTTCTGGGGTAGGAGCTGCCTTCACATGTTTGGAGACTGCATTCCGCCTTGATGCTCTCCACAGACAGATGAAGCTCCTTGGAGAAGACAACCCGGTCAGCAAGCTTCAGGTTAAACTGGAGCCAGGTATTGCTTTTGGCTGAAGCTGCTGTACACAAAATTTCTGTATATTGATGCTGGAATAGAGACCAAAAAAGACTAATTTTTACATATGCTTTATAAAAGAAAGAAAAAAGAAATACTGCTTTGTAAACCTGTCTAAAAGTAAATAAGGAAACTTGCCTTGAAGTTTTCTTCAAAGTTGGCTAACTCATCTTTATAAATATTGTTCTGTTTAAGAACAGACCAGACTCCCTGAAAAACTGCCTTGAAAGCTGTGTGGTTTTGAGCTTCTGAGCATGTAAAATAAAGTAGTTTATAATGAAAATATTTGGAAATACCATATAAAATCCTGTGCTATTAAATGTTCCTCTTTTTATGTGTTCATGTAAGAGCTATGTATGTATCCATAAGCATGCAGATAAACATATGTATTTGCTGTCCTGTTGAGTGAGAAGGATTTAATCTTCAATTTCCAGGTGTGTGTTCAGTGACTTCTAATTTGAAGTGACTTCTTCTGTTGGGAATTAATACTTAGCTTACAATGATTTTAAAAATTTATTTATTTATTTTCAGCCTGCGTGTTCGGACTGCTTCCATTTAATTTACTGCAGTAAATGAAGTGTACTGACAACAGGCTTGTTGTGTTTTTAAGTCACTACGTCTTGACTCGGTGATCTCTAAGGGGTCTGTATGTCTGAAGGGCTGGAAACTAGTATCGTTATGAGAGCGTTTTATAACATAGTTGTCTTCTCCTTTCAGGTGTAAATCCTAGTAATTTAATGAACCTCTTCACCTATGAGAAAGGCTACTGCTTTGTTTACTACCTATCCCAGCTCTGTGGTGACCCAAGACACTTTGACTCCTTTCTAAGAGTAAGTGTGAATAAGCATGTATTTCTCTTGAGATTTACAGCTGCTTTTTCTTTTGTTTTAGGTTTTGTCACTGTGGCTAATTGACAGGGGTAAAGTTGAAAACAAGTGTGTCTGAGATGGAAGAACGGAGTGGGCCTGTCTGTCAACCTAGATGATTCTTTCTACAAGATTTCTCTTAAGTGAATGTGCTCATGCTCTTTCTTCTCAGATTCTGAGCTTATGAGGTGCCAAATACAGAGTAGCAGTACATTTTTCTTACCTCTTGTTCTGTGCTCCAAATAATTAGAAAGCTGTTGCAGCATAGATTGTCTGTGGCTGGAGCGATGTGACTTCATTCAACTCTAAAAAGGATTAGTTTGTGAATTTTTTAGTCAAGGTGACAAAGGGTGTGCGTTTCCTATATTGGGGTGGGATTGGTGCCTTGGAGCACGTTTGCAAAACCTGTAGAAAGTTATGTTAGCTATTGACTTGTGTGCACTCACAGCCCAGAAAGCCGACCGTGTCCTGGGCTGCATCAAAAGAGGCCTGGCCAGTAGGTTGAGGGAGGTGATTCTCCCCCTCTGCTCTGCCCTCGTGAGACCCCACCCGGAATACTGCGTCCAGCTCTGGAGCCCCCAACACAAGAGAGACATGGAGCTGTTGGAGCGAGTCCAGAGCAGGGCTACCACGATGGTCAGAGGGTTGGAACACCTTTCCTATGAGGACAGGCTGAGAGAACTGGGCTTGTTCAGCCTGGAAAAAAGTAGGCTCCAGGGAGACCTTAGAGCGGCCTTCCAGTACCTGCAGGGGGCCTGCAGGAAAGGTGGGGAGGGACTTTTTACAAGGGCCTGCAGTGACAGGACGAGGGGTAATGGTGGGAAGCTGGGAGAGGGCAGGTTTAGACTAGATAAAAGGAAGAAAAGAAGTTCGTCATCCTGAGGGTGGTGAGACACTGGCACAGGTTGCCTGAGGAAGCTGTGAATGTTCCATCCCTGGCAGTGTTCAAGACCAGGTTGGACGTAGCCTTGAGCAACCTGGTGTAGTGGGAGGTGTCTCTGCCACAGCAGGGGGGTTGGAACTAGATGATCTTTGAGGTCTCTTCCAACCCAAACCATTCTGTGATTCATGATTCTATGACTTGTTTTTTAAAAGTGACACAGCTCCTTGCTTTTTCTTTTTGCTGCATGCATGTTTTTCATCTCCTTTTCCCATCCATCCCCCATTCCATCTTTCTCTCATCGTTAGTTCTGTACGTGTGACTTTGTACTGTTCACTGATAGTGACTAGTGACCAGCTGACTTTCCACTAGTGTCAAGTATGAGGAAACCTTCCTGCCCTTGATATGTTAATGTATCTGTGATCTGTATCAGAAAAAAAAACCCTGTACTCAGCTGTCAATGTATTGCAGCTACCCAGTTTTTTTCTTGTTATGGTGCTTTCCTCATCTGGCGGGGGAGGGAGAATATTTTTCTTGATTTTTTTTTTTTTTTTTAAAATATTTTTTTAAACCTTCCAAACACTTGTTCTCACTCTTCCATCACTAATTTTTTTATTGCATGCAGTGCTTATACGTTGAAAGGAAGCTGTCTTTCTCCTAGCCATAATTTATCCTTTTTGCTGTTTCAGGCCTACATCGAGAAGTACAAGTTTACCAGCGTTGTGGCTCAAGATCTTCTGGATTCCTTCCTGAATTTTTTTCCAGAGCTGAAAGAGCAATGTGTTGAGAGCAAAGCAGGTAGGAGATTTACTTAGTTAACTGTAAACACTGTAGAATATTTGGACAATAAATTTTGTGCTTGGCTTGGAGGATATATAAGAAAAAGCTAAGGCAAACAAAACCCTTTGGCAATAACCAGATGTTCGTGATAGAAATGGTTGTGGTGATTTATTGTTACTGCCTCCATGTTGGGGAATGAGAACATCTTAAATTGCTGACAATTTCGGCATTAATTAGCTGAGTGGCCCTCAGTTAACTTTCTCATTAACTCATCTTTTGCACTGTATACAGAATGATCAATGCCTGTGAGATATACACATGCCCAAATGCAAGGAAAAGGTGAACACGCTTTGAAATTTCATCTATTTTAGTTACAGAAAACGTACTTTGAGAACTGAAACTTTTTCCAAGGTCCTATCCATGCATGTAAAATCTCTTCCATAATGTTCCATTCTTCCTTATATCCCCCCGTCTATAGCTGTGGGTGGATTTATGAAAGGTTTGTAATCAACTAGGTGCTTATTAGCCCACTTAAAGAAATGAGACTGACGTTATCCTGCTATGTGTCCATCCTTGCAAGTAATTGTTGAGCCCAGTGGTCAGTTTAAACCAGACTGGCAGTGGAGTACAGCTCTTAAGGATTCTAGGTTCCTACAGGCTTCGTGGAAACTGCCTGTGGAGAGATGTAGGTGAGTGAGCCTACTGTGGGAAAAGCTGCAGCGTGAGCTCAGCAGTTTTATGTTTTATTTGGCCCGCTGGTTGGCTAATGAGTGAACCACAGCACGTGCTAACTTTTGCCTGGCTAATATTCAAGGGATGCGGGAGAGGGGAGTTTTAGGGTGGATGGTGTGGGATAGAGAGTGTTGCCAAGGGTTAGGAAAGTGCTGAGGTGGTAAAGGGTCAAGGGGAAGAGCTCTGGAAACCAGGCTCTGCTAGCTCTGCTGCTTGTGGAGAATTTTGGGGTTTTTTTAAGTTGTTGATTGTATAAATGAATTAAAATTGCTTGGTTTTGCTGGTGGATAGGAGGAGTTTAGTCAGCCCTCACGCCTCCTTTTTTTTTTTTTTTTTTTTTTTTCTAATGAAGCAGGTTTTCCCCATATTCTTCATTCTTCTTCAAAATTCTGAGGAGGAGAAATGCATGCACAAAAAATCTTACATTAGAACATAGTTTGATCATAGATACTTGTTAGCTTGGCTGCCTTGAGAGTATGTGTGTTTCTTGTACTTACTCACTGTAATGTTGAGGTCTAGAAAACTCATGGTTAAATCTGGAGAGGTGTTGCTGGCACTCTTCCAGGTGAAGCATAGGCTAGCCTGATGAGACTGCTAAGACTGTTATGTTGCTGTATCTATAAGCTGGTCTGATTTGCTATCGCTAGAACCTCTCTTAACTGTGTTAAAAGCAGTCCTGAACCTTGAGGCAGTCAAGCCACCTGCAGAGACTCCTGCTCGACATTTTTGGTGCTCCTCATTCCAGGACTGGAGTTTGAACGTTGGCTCAATGCTACAGGACCTCCGTTAGCTGAGCCAGACTTATCTCAGGGATCCAGTCTGACCAGACCAGTGGAGACGCTCTAAAAATTCAAACTCTGGACCACAGAGCCTCTGGACTCTGCTGCTGCTGCCAGCAGTGTTGACCTCACTAAATGGAGAACGTTCCAAACCGTGCTTTTCTTGGACAGATTGCTGGATGGATCACCACTGCCACATGGTGAGTACTCTATCAGGACAGTAGAAAAAATATTCCTGGAATAATTAATTGAATTCTAAAGAGCCCTATCCCTCGTTGACCTTATCATTCATGTAAAGTCAGGTTGGATGGGGCTTTGAGCAACCTGATCTAGTGAAATACATCCCTGCCTGTGGCACAGGGGTTGAACTAGATGATCTTCAAAAGTCCTTTCCAACCCAAATCATTCTATGATTCTGTGATTTTATGATTCGTTATGCTCTGATAACCCTCAAACTTGACAAAATAGGTTCTAGTTCTTTCTCTGTGTATGTGCTCTCTTCAGAGGTGATAAAAAAGCTCTCGGAATGTTACTCCTCTCAGCTGGACTCCATGAATGCAGAGATCCGTATCCGCTGGTTGCAGATTGTAGTCCGAAATGACTATTATCCAGACCTTTACAAAGTCCGTCGCTTCTTGGAAAACCAGGTACTAACTGCTGGATTAAAATCACTGCACCTCTCAGTGCATGAGACATGTGCATGAGACATGCGACGTGAAAGACCTTGGAACTTCTGCTTCCTGGCCAAGTGTAGACCAGGTGTGTTGCGAAGGGGCTAAGCATGGCTCACCTGCTAGCGGGTGGGGAGGAACGGGCAGATGGAATTTGAAATGCCTACAGATATCTCTGCTTTTCTAGCCTAACTCAGTACCCTTGTCCCAGCTCTGCCCAGTGCGTTTTTTGTGTTGCTTTGTAGCAGCCCTGGCTTTTCCAGACCAGAAGTTTTCACACTACTAAATCATGTGATTGATTGATTGAATATTTACACTTCAAGCAAGGCTAGGGCTCATCGAATTCCTTTCAGTAGTTTTTATTGTGCAGGAGCAAAAGGTTAATGCATATGTTCACTGTGGCCTCTTCTCCTTGGCCTTTTAAAGATGGTTTTGTGGTTTGTGGAAGCAGCTCAGTCTTAGAAAGCAAATTTTTTGTTGTCATTCATAAAAATCTTTGCATTAAACTTATTTAGAATAGATTTGGCTGTCTTTTGAAGAAATATGTTGCTTGTCTCCAGTCTGAAGTAGTTCAGGGCTGTTGGAGTGTAGCTCTAGAAGAGCTGAACATCTTGACTTTTATCGAAGTGATACTATGCAGTTTTCCTTTTTTGCAGATGTCTCGGATGTACACAATTCCACTTTACGAGGACCTTTGCACTGGCACCCTCAAGTCTTTTGCCTTAGAAATTTTTTACCAGACCCAAAACCAGCTGCACCCCAATTTGCGGAAAACCATCCAACAGATCTTATCACAGGGCTTGAATCCACTGCCTGCCATAGACACTACAGCAGTCACTACAGACACACCAGCGATGGTGCTTGAGGACAAAGTCTCAGAGGCCACAAACGGTGCCATTTCACTCAGGGATGTTAATGTGTCTGCTTAGATCACCAGCTCATGCCAGCCATGAACCTTGAAAATGGGACAGGAACAGAGGAAAGATACCAAGTGTCGCCTCCTTTCCCTCAGCCCTGCAGCTGCAGTGTGTTGTTGTTAACTGGATTTCTCTCCCAAAACACAAAGCAAATGTGCCTTCAAGTATCCAGCGTGTGACACTGCCAGGTTTCAGAGATCTCCTTCAGCTATGGGATGGATATTTTGATTCGGTTTATACTGGGCAGGGACTCCTCGGTAGTTGCTTCTCCATGGAAAGTGGATAGTTCCCTCTCCTCAGGCTCTTCTGGATGGTTTCTCCAAGTTTTGTTGGTTGGTAGTTTGGGGTTGTTTTCTTTTTTTTTTTTTTTTTTCTTTTTTTTTGTCTGAGGCCACTGAGGCATGTCCTACTTGCTGTGTGTGTGTTGCTGGGGAGTGTATATGTGTCAAGCTGTCATTATCCTGAAATTTGGGCTGAAGTTCTGCAAAGGAGAGACTCAGGAATTGTCAGTGGCAGCAACCACGTTTTCATGTTATGCTCCTTACTGTGATAGAGGTATTGTGATTTGGGAGGTTGGGGACTAATGCTTAAATAATTAAGAAACTAGTTTTAAATAGCTCCTGTTCCCCCCTGCCCCAGGTGGCTAAATAATAATAATAATAATGCTTTTTATATATATATAAAAATATATATATAAAAGAACAGGGAAACCTTATGATGGATTTGAAATCCTTATGTAGTTAACCCTACCCTCAGTTTTCCCTTTGCACTCAATGGGACAAGCAATAAAGAAATGTGTAGGCTCCAGTTTTCAGAAAAGTTAAATTTAGGTGCCCAAATGCCATCAATTCTGGTACTAGCTGGATGCCTAAATCTTTTTAACTGTTTTGACAAGTCTAGCTGCAACCTTTGTTAGTGTGTTTGGATGTGTAGCACGTGCGTTTGTCAGATGCACTGTGTGTCTTCTATTCTGTCCTTTTGGAAGAATTAACAGGACCTTTAATTTAAGTTTTTTAAACATCCCTAGCATATGTTGGGCCTGTAAGTCAACCATGGAGATATCCATGCTAAAATTTTGCTGCCTTGAAAAACATTTGCCTGAGTAACAGTTGCCCTGTCATACGACAGTCTGAGGGAAGCACCCTCTTTCTTGATGTGAAACTTTTAAGCCCCGCTTTACCTGAGTCTGTTTTCTGACTTACGGTGGTGGTAAGATGCCATTTCATTTACACAGCGTGCTACTTCTCTTCATCGCTGGCCAGGCATGCAAGATGGGGAGACGCTCTCTTCTGTCTGCGCCATTTGGTCTCAGGAAGCTGAGGGCAAAGCATTGTTGAGTATTACAGAGTACAGGTGGTGGTTCTTAGACTCTGTGCCACATTCTTTTTAACATGTGGGTACCTGTGTGCCTCTGAGCTCCCATGAAGCATCTCTGAGCTGATGTATCACCAGGGTAGAGGACTAGTTTGAACAAAACGTGAAACATCTGGAAGAGGCTCAGCTAAAGGAGATGCGAGAGAGAAAATTTTATATACTTCAGGGCAAATTTTAGCCCTGCTATGGGGATCTGCATAGCACAGGAAGAGGGGAAATTCGGGAGATTTTTTTTTTTCTTTCACCAAAAGTATCTGTTTACACCCATGTGTGGATGGGGACTTAGGTGCTGTTACTGGATCTGCATTTTCTGGCTTTAAGTTAATTTGGACTTCACCGTAGCCTTAGCCTGGGCTGAACTGGGATAAAGCAATAATAAACTCAGGCCTCTGTAGTGCTTCGTTAGTTTACCAAATGGGCCATCAGCATTGTTGGGCTTTAGAACTCCAAGCTCTGCTCTTTGCTCCTTGAATTGGGATTATCTTTTTCGTTCTGTTTTGTTTTCCCAGAAAGGATGGAGAATGATGTTTTCTGTACAAATCTCTTTTCCTTTTCATCTGTTGTTCTATTGAAAGAGATTTGTGCCAGCTGACTTTCCACTTCCTGAGTTGCCGCTGATTGGTGCTGCGTCTCCTGGACCCCACTGCCAGCAGCGGCAGCCTGCCCAAGACCAGTAACCACTAACATCTTTTGGAATCACAGGCCTCGTTTTAACACATTCTATTTTGTGGGAGAATGTATGTGACCCTGGTGGGAATTTTTAATTTACATGGATGCCTTATGATGATTGTCAAATTAAACTAAGCTTTGTGACAAGCTTTGCCTTTTGGGCAGTTTTTCAGCATCCCTGCTAGAGGTGTGTGGAAGAGCTAACTTGATACGTTGTCTTTGTTTTATCCTTTTCTGGAGTGCAGCATAGAGGGAGTTTGGAAGCTGTTTAAAAGCTGCACAGCAAGAAGTTGGAGAGGTGGCAAAAGCAAATAATCAAAAGTAAATATTATCTATTGTTACTACAGCTGACTGAAATACATCAGATCAGCTGTGTGTTTGCATGTACATGCATCAGAGCAGAGAAATGCTGGCTGGGCCTAACAGACTGTTTCCTGATTGAAGAACATGAGATCTTATCCCTGTGGGATCCGATCAGGTGGCTATTCCTTCAGGTACTTTTGCTCCTCCTGCGAGCAAGAAGTGCGTTTTTATTTTGAAGAGACAACAAATTGGCAGCAAGTTTGTGGAGATAAGCCTTCCTTTTGTTGATACAAAATAAATTAATGCTTCAGGCTACTTTCTGTGTTGATTTGCAGTAGACTTCACATTGGCAGGCAAGTTAGACTGAGATTAAAAAGAAATTATTTATTTGCCTTATTTTTGGTACATTAACTTCTGATCTGTTAAAGTAAGATTAGGACAGCAAATCAGTTTTATTTAAGCAGATGCCAAGAGATAGGGTTATCTTCCTTATTTTGAGAACAAAAGCTATTACTTTATTTCATTGCAGCCTTGAGCAGGGCAACATGGGATCTAGAAATATCACTTGTGGAAGAGCTCTGAAGAGCCAAACCCTTTAATAAAATGGGTTATCACAAACTTTTTTTTTTTTTAGCATTTCATAGCCACGTTGGTTAATACATTAAGTATAATTCTTGTTAGCTACACCTATTACTCTGTTAAGCCTGTATCAGTAATTTTGCTGTCATGATCCATTCCAACATCCTAACCATGTACTCCATTAACCAAGAACAATTCTAGCAAGCATCCCAGACGTTCTGATTTCACCAAAATTTTCTCATGTTCTTGCACTGCAGTGACCTTGGCTGTTGTCTTTTTTGGGTAACACAGGACCTTCTGTACATCTATGCTAAGCACATGCACTGCACAGTTCACTTAGGACAAGTACACTTCTTTGGTCCGTTTTCCCAGTTTGTGTATGTCCAAAGATAGAACAACCCAATGCAGTCAACACTTATAAATCACATGGCACTTGTTTTCACACTTTTTACTGTAGATTGGTAAAAGCTTAAAGCCACTCTGACCACAATATCAGACTTTGTGTATAAAAGAAACTGCAGTAGAAGTCACAGTGTGATGTTTGTCAAGCTACTATCCTCTGAGACACAGAATTGTTGTTCTGTTGGGAGGACCCAATTTAAATGACACTGAATTAGTCGAAGCCCCAGGTAAGTTGTTTTAGCTGTTGACTTACGCATTCCTAAAATTGCATACCTAATTTCTAGTTTGGATTTGTCTAATTTCAGCTTCCAGCTCTCAAAGCTGCTGCTTTGTTTGCGAAACATAAACTGCTTACTGTTACTAACCTCTTTCCCATGTAAGTACCTCAATTCTTAAAGAAAACTGAGTTATTTGTCTCTTGATGCAAGGTATGTCTTCCACACTTCACGTATTGCTTTAGCTTTGGGGTGAAGCATGATGTTTCAGCATCCTTTTAAAGTGGAAATTGCACACTGTTTCTCAAAAATTACCTCAAATGCTGCTGTGTATTCTGCACCAACTTAAAAAGAATTTTTTATTAATATTGTGCATTTAGCCTGTTTTTTCATTAACTGCAGTAGTAACTTGGGCACTGGTTAGAGCATGTCTTACCTGGTCACGGCAACATTTTCTTTTATAGAAAAAGGAGTGTAGAAAAAAGCTATTCCATACCCTGGAGGTGACTTTTCACTCTATACAGAGGGAGACTAGCTGGTTGCATTAAATGGTTGAGCCTGTGTGAACACTTCCTCTCACTCCTTCTCTATGGGCATGCGCCTTCTGCACGGGAAAACTCAAGTCTTATACCTCTGATTTCTTGTCAAGAGAATTAGGATTATGTTGGACCTAGTGTGCTCTGTGCCCCGCAAGGAAGATGTTCTAATATACTAGAGACGAGTCTCTAAAATTTAAGAAATGGCATTAATGGGTTTTTCAGAGCATTGGACCCTTTTGCAAAAGCATACTTACTGAGATTCAGGGTCTTAAGGAAGAGTGGGAGGTGACTGGAAAGGGTGGGAGATGGGCTATTCTTCATGCTCCTATGATTTGGTGGAAAGCATCCAGGGATAACTGTTTGACATTGCAGTGTATGACACTGGGTGTATGACCTAGGCAAGCATCAGCATATGCATTGTTTTAATTCTGGTATCTTGTACCACTTTGTTCTTGCGCGCCGTGGTAGCCAGCATGGAAATTTGGAGCTGTGCTCTACCTCTGGGTGTGCCTGAGATGATGAGGGAGATCTTTGTCCAGCAGTGGGAGTCTTCCTCAGGCCAAGCCACTCAGTCTTTCTGACAAAAAAGCAAGCTGAAGAGAGCACTGTGATACCAACCTGCTTCTGGCTGGCTGATGAACACCATCAGAGACTTCTCCCATACCATGCTCGTCTGAGCATAAACCCCAAATATTCCCTCCAAAATCTCCCTAAAGTGAATGCCGTTCTGTGCTGTTCCTCTGACACAGCTCCGACCACTGTCAGCCTAGTGGTAGTGCAGGGACTAAGCCTGTGCCCTCCTGAGCCTGCTATTGGGATCCAAGGAATTGGAAGGGCTTCCGTGTGCCATTTGAACAACTTCTGTGTGTCAGAGTTTGCAGAAACAAACACGTTGGGCCCAGCCACCATTGCTCAGTCACTTTTACCCGTC